CGCAAGTATAAATTTTATTGCAACGAACCTGGACAACCGGTCGTTACAATATATACTATGGGATAGTCAAGCTCGTTTTAGGTCCTTGACTTCAGTCAACATCTAGGACAGTCTTTGACTGCTACACATATCTAAATGAGATGTCGACGCAGTTCAATATTTCTCTAATCTGGGTTATCGGTCATAAGGACATATTCAGCAATTGCAAAGCAGATGTGCTAGCCAGACGGGGTTCTTCAAGAAACCACTCGGAACACCTAAGCAATCTGGACATACCCTTGACATCATGCAAATGAAAGCGCCTACCTCATGCTTTGCTTCTGTCCGGCACATGCACGGCCGCTTTTACATTTTAAGGGCTTTTTTGTGGATCTTGGCGAATTCACGACGTCCCTTTAAATAGCTTCATAAGCTTTGCCAAAGGTTAAATGATCAGCATAGATAAAAATATCGAACGAGAAGCAGCAAAGTCGACTACTTGTTATCTGTGAACATATGCATCCTGGTCAACACCTGAAGCACCATTGGATCGCATCCATATAAACTTCGTTGGACCTGTTTTCAATGCAATGTGGCTTATTTGTGTAGATGTTTTTTCGAAATTTCCATATATTTTTCGGTTATCTGGTACAACTTCCCAAATGCATTGTCAGCGATAATGGGCCGTAATTAACGTCAGAAATGTTTAGAACGTTTTGCTATCAAAATGATGTGAAACACATTACGACAGCTTCTTTCCATCCAGCCTCAAACGGACTCGCAGAAAGTTTCGTACGCACATTCAAGGAATCGGTAAAGAAGAATATCGATGACAAACTATCAATTAATGTGATAAAATTTCTCTCATCTTATCGGTTTTTACCTAACTCAGAAGGAAAGTCACCAGCTGAAATTTTACATGGTTGTGCTGTTCGCACACTTGTAAGCATTTTGGAAATTATGCTGAAAACCATAGCTTGGGAAAAAATAAATACGATCTCTTCAGTACTGTGTTTATACGAAATTTCTCAAATGGACCGAAATATATAAATGTGTTATAAAGAAACAACTAGGGAGAATATCGTATATATCATCGTATATATAACTAGGAAGAATATTGAATATAGTATATCGTTCAAACAGCAACTGGTTGTTATAAACGCCATCAAAACCAGTTAAAACATTGTGAACCCAATAACCAAGAAAATAATATTCAACCTGAAGAATTGACATGGCAAACAATGTCAACAAAAGGTCTTATTCCAGAGTCTGAAAAGTCAGTTATTAATCCTTCAAATGCATTCGAAGAACTATGTCGAAGTATGCATTCTCGAACACCTATACAGCGGTATCAAACTGATAACTTTTTACAGAAAAATAAATGAATTTTTTTTATTTTAATTAAAAATTGAATTATGAATTGAATTAAAAATTGAATTGAAAATTTAAGTTAATTTACTTAAGTGAATTAATAATATATTGTATGTAATTAATAAATTTTAGTAATTCTAAACATAGGGAGGAGATATGTTATAATTATTATTAGCAACTCTTAATTATTTTTTATTCTTTTTTATTACTTATTCTCTTTAAAAGCTTTAGATATTTATATTGTATTAGTTTTAAGAATTGATAATTATAAAATAAAGTTAGTCATAAATATACTAGTCTAAATATACTAGTGATCTTACTAAATATAACAGAATCAATTCTAGTATTTTATTTTTATTGACTTTATCATTTCCAATGTTTTTGTCGTCCTTTTGATGGCGTTAAACACAATATTTGGTGGCTGGAGATTATTTTTTCCATTAAAAGATTGTCAAGACGTTACGACATCGTTAGAGTATAAGAGAGATTTCTTCTGGCATAGCGGAATATAAGCAAAACGCAAGGAACGTTTTTAGAATATACTACATAACAAAAGCAAATATGTCAAAAAAGATAAGTCTTATCCCATAATATGAGAAAAATAATTACTTTGAATATATTGTTATCTATTCAGTTTATAAATTAAATTTTATTCTCACATATTTTGTTAAAATAATAAACATGAACTGCAATATTATTAAATATTTTTCAATTTCAATTTAAATACACGTCTTAAATTTATCTAAATTTGTGTTGGATAATATCAACTAGAATTTTTTATTACGGCTTTAGTTGGAAAGGTATTTATTAATATTATACAAAGTTTTACTATTTACAAAATTTTCACTATTTTATTTACTAAATTATTTAATTACTAAACGATGTGTTGACGTTGCCGGCCGCAATGAATACTGATTTTACCTGCATTATATGCGCTCCTTAAGTTTTCTTTTCAAACGAGAGTTTCAAGTGCGAGTTCGTTAATTTCCTGGTTGCGTTTGAAAATTTTATGTAACCTGCTGCTACACAGTTATCATTTGCATCATTTGACCCAAATGTCTGCCAACACAAGTTCTATCAAGTGTATTACCACTTGTTGTCTTGCACGCATCTATTAGTCATTCGAGTAATAGGTTGTTTAATATGTGGTTTGTCAGCCAATGGGCCTGAACTGTTTAACGGTTCGGTTATTTTTATTTGAAACGCAATTGCTGTAAAAAATTGTATTTTAGTCATATGCCACGAGATTAATTCAAAATAACTTTCATGATTTGAAATTCTAATAGCTGCAAACATGTTCTGCATATTCCGATTGTTTTTCCATGAGTTTTTTTTTTGGAGGACTGGATTGTACAATCATTGTCAATATTTCTATTTGAAGAATGTCTTGCCAAGTTGCAATTTATCTGCAGCATAAAGTATTAAATATATTTTACAATATTTTAATAAATTATATATTTATACCTGACACAGCTAGCAACTGTGTTACGTATCACTTTGACGTAATTATTCAAAATGATTATCTTGCTTGCATTTTTCTGTTTATATAGCATTAAAATTCAGAGTCAGAAACGAAATGCAATTATTCGCAAAACTTGCCGAAATCTTCTGTAAAAATATTATTTTGGTAGTTATATTAAAATATTCATAAAATATCTTCTGTGCCTTCCACATTTGCTTGCTGTTATTAGTTGTAATATTTTTGCAATTATTTTATGTCGCTTCATTCGTATATATTTTAATTTATTAAGTATTTTATATTGCTGTGCAGTTTCGCTGCAGAGCAATGCAATAACATTTTGATTCATAATTTTAAACAATAATTTAGTAAACAGAAAAGGCAGATTTTTGAAACGATATGTAGATTGAAGAGTATCAAAATGTAAACAAATACAAAAAAAAAAATTAACAACTATCACAATGAAAACCTGAAACGATAATGTTAGCCTTTGAAGTTTGGGAATCAACTTTAGCAAAGATCGTTCACTGAAGTTCGTAATACTAAGTGTACATTGTGAGATTAAGGGCCATGTTTCTTGAGCACGGCATGAGTACAATTGTTGTTGTTTTCAATGCAAATTTTAAATTTTAGAATGAGAAAAAATACAATATGACCGTTCAAACTCCGGCATGAAAGCCGGCGTATTTGTGGCCCGGCACTAAAGCAAAACAGTGTTGTTTAGTCATAAATTTCTTGCTTAATTTGCCTTTTAGGAGCAAATTACTACAATTTTAATACGTTTTGGAGAAAAAATGGCAGTAAGCAACACAGCCTTTTTTTATAAATCGCTAATAATATAATTATTAAACTTTCCACTTTTAAAGAAAGGCGTAAATACTGTTGAGTATTTGTAACATTTATTGTAAGATAATGTAATAATAAATTAACATTATTACAGCCTCTATGAGTTTTTTCTTGCTAGTTATTTTTGGTGGCAAATTGAAAGTGAGCATATTTAAATTTCCTTTTAAATTTAGGCACAACCAAAAAGTATCAAAACATTAGGGGTATTCAGGCAACTGGATAGTTGCTTAGTAGATGATTTCAACAAAAATGTGCATACAAAAAAGAAATTAAGCAGAGCATATACTATTTGGGAGATTCTCAGATTAATGAAAATTTGATTAATAGTGCTGCCAGTAGCAAGTGTCGACGCTATGGGCATAGGGTGTCTCAAAAAGAAAATTCAAAAATAAAACCATAAATTAATAAATAGAATTCAGTAAAATTATAATTTTTAAAGGGATAAAATATAATTAAAAAGTATAAAATTTAATATTCTACTTCTTGATATATGACACGTTTGCAATTTTAGTTATATGATAAATTATATGATATGATAAGATAAATTATATGATACATTGAAATGATATTAAAATATTTGAGTATTTCAATGTTAACATATGTTTCGCTTTTGCTGTTGCTACGAGTGCTGCCAAGGCATTTGCACACAACATACTAATCACATTACGCATTTTGGGTCGTTCAAGCCACAGATTAACATCAAAATGCTAATTTTTTTTTTATATGAAGTTTTTTAATCAACTAAGGAACTAATCTGTTGCCTGAATACCTCTATTATACATTGGTGATTAATATTCACGTTTTTCTAGTTATGTTTAATTTTGTGTGTTTGATAAATTATTGTAAATAAAGCATTTAATTACAACTTTTTTAAAAAAAATTTATAATGTAAATTTAATAAATAGTTTTATAACAAAATTTTAACAAATTTTAGTAATAATTATGTACTAAACTATTATGAAACAAATTAAATAAGAATTTTACTCAGCTCGGCATTTTTAAATTTATGATATTAAAACATTTGCATAGTTGCACACAAAAATAATCACAATTTTTAAGGAAATTTAAAATTAATCTTGCCCAAAACGAGGTTTGTTTTGTATACGAAATCTGTGATTAAACAACTAGATTAGTACTGTAATCTTGACGATTGTTTTAATATATTGTTAATCTCATACTGTAAATGCAATATAATATAAACATGGTATAAGAGTGGAATTAGTACCGTGTGGTGCTAACAAAGTCCGAGTCGATAAAAATCGTTTTGTGTGAATGAAAAATAATGTTTGAAGAATTGATTATTTTTGGTGTTTAGTTATCGATTTAAATAAATGAATAGCGATGGCAGCCTTTTTTGATCTCATTTAGATGTGATTACAATTTCTTGAATTTTAAGGGTCGATGTTCATTATATTTTGCAGTTGGTTTCGATTGTTAGTCATTTAAATATAAATTGAAAGTTGGTGGATTAAATTATTCAGGTAAGGATTTTTGAAAATATACTAAGTGCGTTTCGAAAACATAACATCTTTTGACTTTAAGCAGGACTGTGTTTAAATTTTTTATTGTTATACTTCAAGTTAATTATGTGATAATTTTGTTCGAATAATGAAATCGGAATAGTATGCAAATATATACTCAGTTTTAAAAAATGTGTTGTGAAGAAATACAATGGAATGATATCTAAAAAAATTAAGGTAAGAATTGAAAAACGGATTATAAAACGTCTTTAAAAATTTAATATGGAAATGAGATAATATTAATAAATATATTAAAGATTTGTTAACATAATTTATGATGTCAGGAATTATATGTGTGGGATTTACTTACAGCTCTATATTATGAGCATTATGTGAATGAAATAAAAAAAAATGAAATTTTAGTGTACATTGCTAGTTTGGTACAGCCTTCAAACGCTATGAATACCTTGTTAAAAATAATTTTTCATTTTCCAAAACTAGATAACTTTGTCACCAAATTTTGTTAATGAACATAATAAAATGGAGTCAAAAAAATATTTTATTGCGAAAAAATGAAAAGAACCAGTTGCACATGTCAATGATTGCTTGACAAGTACCTGTTGTTTACAATTAATAAAAAGTTTTTAAACTTTTTTATTTACATATGATTTTTAAAATGTAATGTGTAGTCATATAAACTGCAAGAGTAGCGTGAATTCGTTATCGTGTCAAGTGAGTTTTGGAACATTAACACACTTTAATCGTAGTTACCCAAGCTCTAATCTAAGAACGCAATTCTAATAACTTCAAAAACTCGTGGAAGAAGCTGCTTTAATAATATATTTGCTCTGCTAACAAGAAATTCAAAAGATGTAATAAATTTTGCTTTGCACTAGATATGTATGTGTATATATATATATATATATATATATATATATATATATATTTGTTTGAAACGTGTAGGTGAGCTGAAATTCTATGATGAATGATATGGGTAAGGTTTCTTCTGATTCGTAGTGAATTATAGGTATAAAAGGATCTTTTACGTCAAAGAATGGAAACATCTTAAAAAACATTCAAAAACATAGTTCAGATTGATGTGTTTTATTTCTTAAAACGAATAGATAGAAACTTAATAGCTCTTGTACGCTTGGTGTATAAAATATGTATCTTAAGTTACTATAAAGTGGCGATTACATTTTCAATACAAAGAACAGACGTCAAAAAAAAATACACATTTTCTTCCACGTTAATATATAGCAACAGTTTCATTAAAGCTTTGATTCTATACTCTAATGGTTAGCATAAAAATCTTAATTGCGAACTAAGAATTTTTAAGCTAACATATGGTATTACTAACATTTTAGTCGCTATTAGATACGAGTGAGAGTCATAATATAGAATGCAACTTAATCTCTCAATTTAGTGATATTCTGACATGACAACTATTGCCCCGTTAATTCATTTTATTTCATTATACAGTATGACCTCGATTAATGCAAGTGATAGAATTCAAGGGTGTTGCAATAATCGAGGTGGTTACAATAATTGAGGTGGTTGCAATAATCGAGTTTAGTTTGTTTAATACATTTAAAATTTAATTTAAATTTAAGAGGCATTAACATTAAGTTAATATGAATACTTATTTTTATTTATAACAACATAATTGCAATCATACTCTATAATAATAACTTGTTATTTCAGCTTGCTTTTTATTGCAATTAAGATTCATTGTAACTGCTGTGTTAAAGATTAAAAGGCTGTGTTAATGATTTTTTAGACTTTTATTATTACTTTTGTAAGAGGTATGGAATTTTCTCAGCCCATTGAATGTATGTCTTAAGTGCATTTATTGCCACGTTATTTTTAATTAAAAATGTAATGACACTGTCCTCAGTTCCCAAGTCTGAATCGATGTCAAGTTGTATAGCAAGAGACACATTTTCCATAGAAAATTTGGTCACCCACTCATCTATTTCTTGTTGAGAAATAACATTATCTGGAATAATTTTATGATTTCATAATATTCTTATACACTAAGAGTGTATTTGCAAATTCTTATGCCTGACAAATAACTGACAAATAAAATATTTAGAGTTCAAGAGCGGAAAATAATTAGCAAAAGTTGTATTCTGCGCGGTAGTCAATTTTCAAATTTGCAATATCAAACATAATACAGGGAAAATTTAAGAGATTGCAATAAGCGAGGAGTTGCGATATTCGAGGGTTGCATTAATCGAGGTCATACTTATTTTTAGTTTCTTGAAATTAAAAGACAAAGAAGTACTAAATTGGACTAAACAAAATTGTTGGGACACCTTATGTAAAAACCAATTTAAAAAAAATTATTTAAGGCAACAATTGATTTCAATTCGCAGATATCTGCAGCAGACATGTACCCCTAAACAAACACCATGTTCGACAAACAGCAGAATTATTTTTTTTTTTAGTTCGGTGTTTAGTTTCCTCCAACTCGTTTGGCGGCTGTTGGATCGAGAAATATGAAATTTTTTTCATCCGATAAGATTACATTATTCCAAAAGTCGATTAGCTTGTTTAAGTACTCATTTACATAGGTTAAAGATTTTGAGATAAACGGTTTTTGTCTAGCAAAATGGTTGTAATTTTTTCATGCATATAATTGCCAAACACTCGCTTAACCTCAGCTGCGATCTCTGTTGAAGATATTTTTGGGTTGACATTCAACTTCCTTATTTTATTGCGTTCACGGTTGCTGTCTCCTAAGTGCTTTGCATTTCGCAATGATGTCGGCCCCTTGGAGCGCTGCACAATATCGACAATTGATGTAGGAAGAACCTATCCATCATTTTCTCCAATATCGGCATAAGATTTGCCTTGATTGTGCAAATATAGAATTATTTTTCGCTGATATTCGGTAGTTTCTTTATATTTTACTGCTCATTTGGTTTAAAACGGATCAAGTTTTTTAATGTTATTAGGCGTTGTAACGTTTTTTACTAGAAACTCAACCACCATGTTATTTATAATGTAGAAATAACTGGTCTGTACAGCAAAAAATATTCAGACCGATAAAATTATGTTAAAATAGGATCTGACAAATGCTGTGATAAATGTTATGTTAAAATATGTTGTGTTAGAACCTAAGCGTGCCAATAATTTTGTTCAGCGCAATTTAGTATTTTTTTTGGTGTTTTAATTTTAATAAATTGAATACAGTATATATAATATAATGAAATGCAATGAATTTAATTGCAAATTAAGTATTTTATCTAAAAAATTTTTTATTAATTAGAAATCGGTGCATAACGGGGTAAAAACAGTGCTAAAGTTCAATATGTTTGCTGTGCCAATAATTATGTTCGTCCACTGTATGTGTTATTAAGACGTCAATATAAATTCAAAATCTATGTAAAGAGTAATAAGCTTTAACAAACAAATAATCTGCATGAAATTTTTATTTATTTATACATTTATTGTTTTTTGTTTTGGTATTTTTTTTTTGTTTTGGTATTTTTTTTTTTGTTTTGGTATTTTTTTTTGTTTTGGTATTTTTTTTTGTTTGGTATTTTTTTTTTGTTTGGTTTTGGTATTTTTTTTTTGTTTGATTTGGGTATTTTTTTTTTGTGTGGTTCTGGAATTTTTTTTTTGTTTGGTTTTGGTATTTTTTTTTTTGGTTATTTTGATATTGTCTAGTAAACAAAGTAAAATTTATGGATTGTTCTTGATTTTTTATAAAGGAATTTCATGTATTAAATGAAATTAAGAAAAATATAAGAAGGAAAGATTATAATGAATCTTATTAGTTAAAATTTAAAATTTAATTAAATCAAATTAATAAATCAGATTTAATTGCAAAAATGTGTTGGAAATAAGAGCATACATACAGTGTTGTGCATAACAAAAGCAACCAAAATCAGCGCATGAAATAAATAAGTTTTTTGTCTACTTTTTACTTTTCATTCAAAAACTTAAATACAGAGTTTTATTTGTTATTGTATTAGGTATTATAAAAAAACAACAAAATCTACAATTCTTCATAACGGGTTAAATAATTGACAACAATAGCAACTGAGACAAGATCAATGCTGGATCTATGACCAAAGTGCATTCTAACAAGATATTTTTTTGATTTTTTGCTATTTTATGCTGTGATTTATTGTTTTAAGCAAATTAGAACATAAAAACAGAATAGTTCAATATTAAATCAGGTAATGGAAGCACGTTTTTATCATGGCTCGTGACACGTATACTTTGAAGTTTAAAGAAGCAAGAATTGAAAAATGTTTAAAAGGCAGTGCTGAAATAAAATAGCCAAAATATTTAAAATTAATATGTTTATTGTTTCGTAGCTTACAAAAAAATATAATTTGACAAAATACCGTTAAAACGGTTTATTTGGGTGAACCCCCTTGTAAGATTACTCATAGAATTGATCGAAACATCATATGAATTGCAAAAAAAAACCATTCATTTAGTCGAAAAAGATCGTAGATGAGCTTAAACTATATGTGGACTCTAGTATTGTACGCAGGCGTACTCTCGAAGCAGGTTTCAAAAGTTACAGACCAGTCAAAAAACCAATGTTAACTTAAAAGCATTTGCAAAAGAACTAGATTTTTTGTTTTGTTTTAATTAATATTAATATGAATTAATTTTAATATTAATTTTGAACGATATCACTTAAATTGAATACTTGTTAAAAGGAAAACAGTTTTTCTCAGCAATAAATCGAAATTAAATATCTCTAATTCTGATAATTCTGATTTGGGCGTGCTTCTCAGGATTTAGATTTGGACCTTTTCATGAAATTCATCAAATAATAGCCCAAAATGTGTACAGAAGAATATTAGAAAGCTATTTGGTACCCCATGGCGGATGAGAAATGCCACTCCGACGGTTATATCAGTACGATAACGACCCAAAACACACCTTAAAGCTGATAAAAGAATGGATTTGGAAAAATGGAATTCCAATTTTAGATTACCCGGCCCAAATGCTTGATTTGAATTCAATTGAGAACATTTTGGTATTCTCAAACGTCGCTTTGGGGATCGTAAAGTTCCCAAATGTTTGAGGCCATGAAAGAGGAATGGTATAAAATTCCAAATAGTTTTATTAACAATTTAATATCACCTATGACCCCTAGATGTGCCCAAGTAATAAAAAGCAAAGGGCTTTATACAAAATTTAGAAAAATAATACAAAAATTTAATATAATAAATAAAGTTGCTATTGTTCTGCACAGTCGCATTTCG